CTTTTCCTTTCTTTCTTTCTTTTTTTTTGGGTGATGCTGTTGTTTGTTTTTTGAGACAAGGTCAAGGTCTAACTATGTAACTCTTGCCAATCTGGAACTCACTGTATGAATCAATATGCCTCAAACTCCCAGTGATCTTTCTGCTTCTGCCTCCTGAGTTTGAGAATTAAAGGCTTATATTAGTATCTTCTAGATAAGCTGCTCCTTATTCCTTAGTAATGTGGAGTCCTCTGCATTTACTACTTCCCCATCCCCTTAAAATCTTAGCCTATCACTTTTAGCACATTTTACATTCCTGCTTAAAATTTCACTAATGTTTTAAACACAAGATTTTATTGTTTTCATTTTTGGCCTCTCTTTTTTTTTTTTTTTTTTTTTTGGTTTTTCGAGACAGGGTTTTTCTCTGTGTAGTTTTGGTGCCTGTCCTGGATCTCACTCTGTAGTCCAGGCTGGCCTCGAACTCACAGAGATCTGTCTGGCTCTGCCTCCCGCGTGCTGAGATTAAAGGTGTGCTCCACCACCGCCCTGCATTTTTGGCCTCTCTTGAGGCTACTTCTAGTATCAATATAGAGGTGATTCTTCTCATTTTATATGCTTAGAACAGGACATGGTAGGCAGTCTCCTCTTGGAAAGTTCCAGACTATATTCTGAAGTTATGTAGAGCCCTAGGATTATAGAATGTATATGCCAAATTCACACACTCTTCGGTGTCTTCATCTTGTTCTTATGCTCTGGTCTTGGTGGCTAAACCTGGGACCTTGTGCATGGTGAATGCAACTCCACCATGAGCTGCAGCCCATTTCTTTGGCTTTTTAATTTTACAACATTGCTGAAGCTAAAAGAAAGGTTTATTTTTTCTTCTTTTTACATTTATTTATGTATTGGGAGGATACACCACAGTTTATGTGTAGAGGTCAGAGGACAACCTGTTTCTCCCTCCATTATGTGGATTCAGAGGATGGAACTCAAATTGTCAGGTCATTGGGCTTAGCGGGAAGTTCCTTTACCTGCTGGACCATCTTGCATGCCCCTTGTTTGTTTGTTTTTCCAGACAGGGTTTCTCTGTGTAGTTTTGGTGCCTGTCCCGGATCTCACGCTGTAGTCCAGGCTGGCCTTGAACTTACAGAAATCCACCTGGCTCTGCCTCCCAAGTGCTGGGATTAAAGGCGTGCACCACTGCTGCCCGGTAAGGATAAATTATTTGTTCAGGAAATCTTCTGGTGAATTTGTCACATTGAATCTGTCTTAAATAAGAAAACACATAATTCTTTTAAAAGAAAACGTCATTTAAGTTGGCAAGAAGACTCAACAGGTAAAGGTGCTTGCCACCAAGCCTGACAATCTGAGTTTGATTCCTAGGACCCACATGGTGAAAGGAGAGAATGGACTCTGGCATGTTGTCTTATGACCTCCACAAGTATGCCCAGGCACATGTGTGCCCACGCAGGTACAAACACAAAATAAATAAGTGTGAAAAAATGTAGAAACAATAAAAATGATAGGGATGGTGGCATACACCTTTAGTCTTAGCATGCAAGAAGCAGAGGCAGGTGGATCTCCGTGAGTTTGAGGCCACCTTGGTCTATATAGTGGGCTCCAGGCCAGCTAAGGCTATATAGTCAGGCCCTGTCTCAAAAAAAAATAGTAATAATTTTAAAAACATTGATATGTATGAATGGCCCTTTCAGATTGCTGTGAAATTGAAAGTTCCATCTTTAGAATACAAGTATAGCTAGATATTAGCACATCAAAAGTGATACTGAAACACCTTGATAAATACTGTATAACAATAGCTAGAATAGTCTAAAGCAAAAATTAGTAAATTGTCCTGTAAAGAATTACTTAGTGGAACTGGGGAAATGGCTCAGGGGTTAAGAGCACTCACTGGCTGCTCTTCCAGAGGACCTGGTTCAATTCCGGGCACTCACATGGCAGTGACCTTCTGTCACTCCAGCTCCAGAGGCTCTGATGCCCTCTTCTGGCCTCCTCTGGCTTCTGTGGGCACCAGGCATACAAATGGTGCACAGACATACATGCAGGCAAAATACCCGGACATATAAAATAAAATAAAAAATTTAAAACTGGTTGTTAATCATTTTAGGCTTTGTGTTTCATGAGTCTCTGTTAGAGAAATTAAACTTTGCTACTGTAGTAAAAAAAAAAAAAAAAAAAGTAGAATATATTGAAATGTAGCCAAAGAATACATAAACAATGTGAGTAAGAAACCCAACTTTTTCTTAGAAAAACAGACAGCAAACTATAATTTGCAAGTGATCTTCAGTTTTAAAATTATGTGTAGGAGGTGGGCTGCAGAGCTGGCTCAGCAGTTCAGAACACATACAGCTCTTGTAGAGGACCCAAGTTTGATTTTCCACACCCAAGTTGGGGCTCACAGCTGTCTATAACACCAGCTCCATGGGATCTAGCACCCTTTTCTGGCCTCTGGGTACGAGTACACACATGGTACATTCTCATATAGATACATACATATAAGTAAAAAAAACAACTTTTTTTTAAACCCACATTTTCTTTGAAGAATGATTTATTGAGTAACTGCAATAGGGCATTGGACTAGACAGTAACTAGAGTGCTGCCTGCAGCCAAAATTATTCTTTAGAATATGTTGTTACAAAGAATAAAAAATCATTTAGAATAATATGATGAGCAAGCCTCTACGGAGTATCTTGTTTTTCATTGAGTGATAAATCCAAAAGACAACTGGACCCTAAGAATCAACTGTCATAGGTGCTCTCCGAGAAGCTAGAACTGCTATGTTTTGCAGCAATCATTTTGAAAACTTGTTTTATCATTGATTAAAAACATTTTAATGTGTCATTAACACATTTGATAGCATAAACTTAGAATACCTTCTTTAACAATTAGGGAGCTATTGGAGAAATTGATGATTTAAACAGTTTCCTTGGTTGAACAGAAAATAATGACTAATACATTTTTAATTATGTTCTCCCTTCATTGATATGGTAATTATTTGGAATTTCCATCCTGAAAATTTTTAAGATTTTCAAAAGAATTGTGTGTGTGTGAGTGTTTGCCTGCATGTGCGTATGTGCACCCTGTGTGTGCCTGGTGCCTTTAGAGTCTGAAAGGAGGTGTCTAATCTCCTAGAATTGGGGTTACAAACATCTGTGAGCCACCATATATGTGCTAGTGCTCCTAACTGCTGAGGCATCTCTCCAGTCCTCGGAATAGTTATTTTTCCTCTATTCTGTGACTATAACAGAGTATGGTTGTGGATGTCAGTTAAAATATTTAGTCATTGGCATGATATATGTAACTCATCTGACAACTCAACTGAAAATTTATTTTAGGACAGTGAGTTAGGTCAGTAGATAAAAGCACTTGGTATACAATCCTAGCAACCTGAGTTTGCAGTGCCCCAGAAACTCTTACAGTCTCTCTTCTGGAACTCTTTCTTAACCTCTAGGAGTAACCATAATCTTGGTTTGTGTTGTTAGGTTTTGTTTTTTCATTTTCTGAAATGAGGTCTTACGACTAATGTAGCATAGGTTGTCCTCAAAGATGGCCTTGAACTCTTGATCTTCCTGCCCCCATTTCCCTAGTGCTGGGATTATAGGTGTGTACTACTATGCCTGGCTATTGTTTGTTTGTTTGTTTGTTTGTTTGTTTGTTTGGACAAGGTCTCCCTACATAGTCCAAGCTGTCAGCCTTCTGAGTGTTGGAATTACAGGTTTATATTTCCTTACCTTTTTTTAATATATACTTTTGTCACCTATATATATACCTCTAAATAATATAGCTTATTTTTACCATATGGATAGATAGATAGATAGATAGATAGATAGATAGATAGATAGATAGATAGATAGTCTTTTTGGTTTTTCAAGACAGGGTTTCTCTGTGTAGCTTTGAAGCCTGTCATGGAACTCACTCTGTAGACCAGGCTGGTCTCGAACTCACAGAGATCTGCCTGCCTCTGCCTCCTGAGTGCTGAGATTTAAGGAATGTACCACTACAACCTGGCAAAATTTATATTTAAATAAAGTCATACAGATGAATTCTTTAGTGTTTAGTTAGTACTTTAATACTGTATTTATTTGAACCATTCAAAACATACCCAAGGTAGATTGAAATAATGGATATAAAGCTTTGTTCCATCCTGCCTTCCAGAAAATGATTCCATTGATGACTTGTTACATGCTTGGTGCCTCTTCCTGCTCTTTAACTGAATTTTCTACCATTCTGGACTCTGTGACAGGGGTCTCATAGCAATCATGCTAGATGGTAAAAGGACATGGCTTTTCAGACATCTCAATATCTCTATATAGTCCTCTATCACCTTATAATTGTTACAGTGACAGGACTGACTTTGTTGTACTTTTTTGGGGGTGGGGGGTTTGAGACAGGGTTTCTCTGTGTAGTTTTGGTGCCTGCCCTGGATCTTGTTCTGTAGACCAGGCTGGCCTCAAACTCACAGAGATCCTTCTGGCTTTGCCTTCCTCGCGCTGGAATTAAAGGCGTATGCCACCACCACCCAGCTATGCTTTATTTTTTGTTATTTTATTTGCCTTTTAACATTTTTTAAAAATATTATTTGTGCATGAGATGTGAGTAAAGATTCATGTGTGTCTTGGTGTGCATATGTATCACAATGTGTGTGAAAGTCAGAGGACAACTACAGGAGTCCATTCTATCCTCTCATCCTGAGTTCCTAGGATCAAGCTCACCTATCAAGACTTTTGCCTGCTGAACTATTTTGTTCACCCTTATTTGCATTTTTTGAGAAAGAGTCACACTGTATAGCTGACTTGAAGCTCATGGCCATCCTTCTGCTGAGTACTGGGAATATAGGCATGAGCCACATGCCTGGATGACTTTGTTATATGTTGATGAATGTTAATGTATTTATATAGTATGTGTTTGTGTGTATCTGCATGCACATGTGTGCTTGTTTTTTACTTACAGGAAATAATTCAGTCATCAAAAACATTTTTTATAGAAATAATACTTTGTTTTTTCAGGTGAAACTTCCACCAATGATGGAAATCATAACTGCGGAGCAGCTGATGGAATATTTAGGTCAGTGCCAAAGACTAGGTGATTTTGTATCTTTTACAAAATTAAATGACGTTTTCAAAGCTGTTATTTTACTGGTGCTATTATATAATCTATTTTAAAATTATAGTTCTGAATCTGCTAATTAAAAATTTTACCAGTATGTTACTATTCTTGGCTGTTACAGCATTCTTCTAACCATCATTAGAATCCTGAATTATAAATAAGAAGACTGGGCAAATCTAGAGAATAGCACACTAATTAATTAATCCCAGTAAATTGTAGAATGAGAAATGATACAGAAACTTTGGCAAGAGAAAAATACCTTTTTAAAATTGTGTCGACTTGGATTAAAGTTGAAGGAATTGGATTGAGATGTAGCTCTGTGGTGGAGCATTTGGCTAGCATGTGTGAGGTCCTGGATTTAATCAATAGAACTGAAAAAACAAACATAACAAGCCACACACACACACACACACACACACACACACACACACACACACACACCCCAAAACAAGAAAAGCTGACGAAATGGCATGAGATACTGCTACCCAAAGTATAATTTGTGGACCTGTGTCAGTTTATAGTCTTATTTCATCTGAAATGTCTTTCTTGTTGAAGGAAGCAATGTGTTGAATTACATTCTTTCCCAGGCTTTTTATCTCAAAACAGACTAGTAGGGGCTGGAGAGATTGCTCAGCAGTTAAGAACACTGGGTGCTCTTGCAGAAGACTTGTATTCAGTTTCCAGTACCCATAGTATATGGCAACTCTAGTTTTAGGGGACCCTACTTCATCTTCTGGCTTCCATAGGCACCAGGGATATACATTGTGCACATACAAACATGTAGACAAACACTCATATACATATAATAAAAATAAACCTTTTTTTTAAAAAAAAGACTAGTAATTCAGCTTGTAGGCTGGCTATATTAAATTGAACTTGTTTAGAGAGAAGGTGATTATACATTGTACTATGCCTTTTGCCATTTGGCAAACAACTTACGTGTTTATATTTTTGCCAAATAAGATATTTTCCCCGATATCTTTCTAGTACTTTTAGTGATTAAATTTTTATTTAAAAATATTGTTAGTCAAGGGCTGTGAAGATGGCTTAGTTAGTAAAATGCTTACTGCACATGCATGAGGACCTGACTTTGGATCCCAGTACTCATGTAAAAACTGAGTGTAGCAGCATGTGCCTGTACTACATGGAAGGTAGAAGCAAGAGAATCCTTGATGCTTCTTGGTCAACCAGTTTAGCCAATTGGTGAGCTCCAGATTCAGTGAGGGATCTTAATACAAGAGACCGAAAAATAAGGTGAAACACTGGAAAGATGACATAGTGGTTAATTGCACTTGGCTGCTGTTGCAAAGGACCTAGAGCTCAATACCAGCACCTAGAGCAAGTGCCTCACAACTGGCTGTAACTCCAGTTACAACACCTCTGGCCTCTGCAGACATCTGTACTCACATGCACACACCTTTAATCCCAGCACTCTTGAGGCAGAGCCAGGCAAATCTCTGAGTTCGAGGCCAGCCTGGTCTACAGAGCAAGTTCCATGACAGCCTGGGGCTACACAGAGAAACCCTGTCTTGAAAAAAAAAAAAAAAAAAAAAAAAAAAAAAAAAAAAAAAAGAGAGAGAGAGAGAAAGAAAAGAAAAAGCCTTAAAGGAAGAGGTGACTTCTTGAGATGTTCGTACATAACTGAAAAGCAGTCTACCAGAGCAAAGGCAAATCTTCACAGCTGAATGGGTCCTGCAGCCAACTCTGGATGATGGGAGGAGGCATTACTATAAAACCAGGACAAAACATACAGTATCACAATGCTATGCAAAAATGCTTCACATCCAGAGTACAACAGGTTACAAAATGTGGCGTTTTATCACAGGAACTTGGGCAGGGCAGGGGACCCATCCAACCTCACCAATTCTGTTGTAAGCCTAATGTACTTGGCTGTTTTACCACTAGTTAGTCCAAGATAAAGGTGAAAATCTTTTCTATCTAAACAGCCCACACCAGTTTTAATTCCTGCTAAACCCAGTGAGGGCTAAAACCGGTCTTCCATTGGCTCTCTCCAGCTCTTTCTTCCACCTCGTGGGATCTTAGGCTTGTTTTCTCCATCATGTCTCAGAGGTCTTAAGTCTTTGGCCATATTCCTAAACTCCTGGACTCCGTGATTTTCTTGCCTTGGCCAGCCACATCCTGGCAAGAGAGGCATCAGCACAGTACCAGCACGCTTCAGTGCCAATGTGGAGGTCAGGGAGGGGTTCTATGGATCAAACTTAAGTCATCAGGCTTGTAGGGCAAAGTGTTTTTACCTCCTGAGCCATCTTGCCAGCATGGGATGTTCTAATACTTGAGTTCAGGTGCAAACAGTAGTAGAAGGATTATAAGAGAGACCATTGGTTGTTTTCCTAACATCTAGGTGAGCTACCCCAAAGGATGGGAATTTTGTGTGTATTTGTTATGTGTACAGGTACACGTGCAGGTACACGTGAGTCTATGCCAGAGGACAAACTCAGATGTCATTCCTCAGACATGTCTTTTTGTTTGTTTTTTGATACTTCGTCTTTCACTGGCCTGAAGCGTGCCAAGTAGGACAGGCTGGCCAGTAAGCCCCAAGAATCCCCATCTCTGCCTCCCCAGTGCTGGGATAACAAGCACGCACACTCCGCTTTTGGGATTTTTTTTTTAATTTTAATTTATTTTGCAATACAATTCAGTTCTACATATCAGCCACGGATTCCCTTGTTCTCCCCCCTCCCATCCCGCTCACCTTCCCCCCAACCCCCCCCCCCATTCCCATCTACTCCAGGGCAAAGCCTTCTCCACAGCCACAGACTGAGGTCAACCTGGTAGACTCAGTCCAGGTAGGTCTAGTCCCCTCCTCCCAGGCCGAGCCAAACAATTCTGCATAGGCCCCAGGTTTCAAACAGCCAACTCATGCAATGAGCACAAGATCTGGTCCCACTGCCTGGATGCCTCCCAAACAGATCAAGCCAATCAACTGTCTCACCCATTCGGAGGGCCTGATCCAGTGGGAACCCCTCAGCCATTGGTTCATAGTTCATGTGTTTCCATTCATTTGGCTATTTGTCCCTGTGCTTTATCCAACCTTGGTCTCAACAATTCTCGCTCATATAAACCCTCCTTATTCTCGCTAATTGGACTCCCAGAGATCCACCCAGGGCCTTGTCATGGATCTCTGCATCCAGATCCCTCAGTAGTTGGATGAGGTTTCTAGCACATCAATTAGGGTGTTTGGCCATCCCATCACCAGAGTAGGTCAGTTCGGGGCTTTTGGGATTTTTATTTCTTTATTTACTTAATTGTTTTGAGGTAAGATCTTGCTGTGTAAACTAAGCTGCCCTCTAATTCACAACCCCCTGCCTCAGGCTGCAAATGCTGGGATTACAGGTGTGTACTATCACACCCAACAAAAATGGGAATTTTGCCTGGCAAAGGTTAAAGGAAAAGCAAATGAGTTTCATTTTGGAAATTGCTGCTCCTAGGTAAGAAGGTGGCCAAACACAGCTGTAGCTTGTTCAAGTATTTGACACAGAGAAAAGAACATATCATGTAGATGCCTAGGCAGTGTTGAGAAGTCTAATAAAATAGGGTGGGAACTAGCTGAATGAGGTGGTGTAGACGAATTGCTAAACGGCCTTATTAATAAAAAACTTGGAGCTAGAAATTAGGGTTAAAGCCTGAGAGAGATCAGAGGAATAGGAACAGCCACATGCTGACCTCACCTCACCAACTCCAAAGCTTCCAAAACAAGCTACTTCCTGTCTACCCACACTTATAGGCCTTTATGTTCTGTTCTCTCATTTGCTTTCTCAGCCTACCTACATCACTTCCTCTTCCTGCCCAGCTTTGTCACTTCCTGTCTGTCTGTACAGACCTCCAGACCTTTCTGGTTAGTGCTGGGATTAAAGGTATATATCACCACGCCTGGCTCTGTTCCCAGTGTGGCCTTGAACTCACAGAGATCCAGACAGATCCCTGCCTCCCAAGTGATGGGATTAAAGGCATGTGCTACCATTGCCTGACTTCTATGTTAAGATAGTGGCTGGCTTTTTCCTCTGATCCTCAGGTAAATTTTATTGGGAGACACAGTATATTGTGGGACACAATACATCCACAAGTTGGTACATACCTGGGCTGTGTGGGAGACCTGGCCTCAAAAAAGCAAAGAAGTGAGGTAGAAAATACAGATTCAGCAAATTAAGGCACTTGCTGCCAAGCCTGATGATCTGAATTTGAGTGTTGGGAGAAAGAACTGACTCCTGTGAATTGTCCTCTAACCTCCATATATCACCTCCCAGATAAATAAATGTTGCTTGTTTTTGAGATCTTACACAAGCTGGGATGAATGTTGTGACTGCAACCATCCCTAGTAGTGAGATGATGAGACAAGTATAGTAAAGTATAGTAAAGAAAAATAGTTGGGATGATGGCATTGTTGTGCTTTAAAAAAATTACCCTTTGAATACAAATAAGCTATAAAAATAGACCTGTATTAAAACATTTTAATTTTGACTACAGTTAACTATGTCTTCTTTTCCAAGATCATCTGGCCTAAACTAACTACTTGCCAGATTCCATTGTTGGCCTAATGTAAATATTGGGTTTTGTTTCTTGATTTTCAGTTGCCTGGAACAGCTTCTTAGTAGCAAATTCTAATTGGGGACTTTCTTTGAAATTCTTTCTCTGTGCACTGATATTTCAGAGGCTGTGAATTCTTGTCATTCTTCTGCCCTCTAGATTAGCCTATACTAGTATACTCTTCTGAAAGCATCAATTTCATCCTCCATCCAACTTAAAATCTCAAGGGGCTGGGATATAATTCAGTGGTAAGCCATTGTCTAGCAAGTGTGAGGTACTAGATCTTACCCTTCATACTAGAAAAAGTAAATAAACACACACATAGATATGTGTGCATATATACATCCCTATGGTCTTTTATAGGAAACCACACATCATATAACTTGGGATTTTTTTTATAATCTTGTTTTTTA